GAATAGCTAAAGTGAATGAAAAGAGTAGTAAATTAAGATCTAGTGAAGTTAATAGTGATGAGATACCTAGTAGACCTGTAGGTATAGACCCTGATTTTGAAGACATGTTTAAGGATAGAGGTTCCAAATATGCTAGAAAGTTGGGAGGGAATGAGCAATACCTGGACAATTCAGATCCAGGTAGTGAGGATACATATGATGAAGTAGTTAAAGAAGATGGGGGTACATAACCCTCAACCAAGAAGATATAACATCAGGATATACTTTGATCCGGCTTGCAAGAAAATTTATTTCCAGTTGGAAATAGTTTTTGAAAGCGTTAAACAGTTTAAAAAATGCTTTGCAAGATTATGTTATACAAAGGAAAGTTCAAATTAAGTTGAGGCATAATGAGCAGCATAGAGTTAGGACAACATGTGTGAACTCAACAAGAAGCAGATGGCATATTTTGGGAAGTTTGGAGGGACACACAGGGAATTTTATTGTCAGCAACTACTATCCTGTTCATAAGTGTTTCAGAGCAATAAGAAACAAGATGGCTAATACAACATGTGTAAGTAAACATTTCAAGGACAAGATTATCAACCAACCTCACATAAAGCTTAGGAAGTTGCAGGATTTGATTAGGATAAAGTATGGTGTGTATATGGAAAAATCCATTTGTGCCAAGGATAAACATCAGGTCATGGGTAAGTATTTGGGTGATTACAAGCTGGAGTTTGCTAGAATATATGATTAAGCTCACATGCTGAGGTCTATAAACCCTGGAAGCACTGTTGTGTTGAAGACTTCAAAGGAAATAATACCTGGTAAAGAGGTATTTGTGGGGATCTATATTTGCCTACATGCTTGCAAAGTAGGTTGGTTGGAAGAATGTAGAAATGTTATTGGTTTTGATGGAGTTTTTCTAAAGGAGGTGTGTAAAGGTGAACTATTATCATGTATTGACAAGGACGGTAACAACCAAATGTACCATGTTACTTGGGCAGTGGTTGAAAATGAGACAAAGAACACATGGTCATGATATTTTAGGTGCCTTATACATGATTTGCAGCTCACAGACTCCCAAGGTGAAGGGCTGACCATCATTTCTGATATGCAGAAGGTATATATTTCTTTTTATTCTTAATACATGACTTTACATATGTCTGATATGCTAACTCTTTTTCTTGTTGCTTAAGTGAATTGTTCAATCTGTGGCTGAGTTGATGCCAAATGCTAAGCACAAAATGTATCAAAGACACATATGGAGCAACTAAAAAACAAAAGTAGAAAGGTGAGGAAAGAAGGAAGAAGTTTTGGGCCTGTGCAAGAGCTTCATTTGAAGCATATCTTAAGGCTAAGATAAATGAGTTGGTAGAATTGGGTGACAGTAAGATAATTGAGGATTTATTGAGATACCCAAAACAATATTATTATAGAGCATTATTTAAAGATTGGAGTAAATGTGATTCCGTGGAGAACAACATGTGCGAGACTTTCAACAGTTGGATCATGTCTGCTAGGCACAAGTCTATAATAACCATGTTATAAGATATTAGAGTGAAGTTATGGAGAGGATGACTACCATGATAGAATTTACGACAAGGTGGATTTCTGATGTATCTCCTATGGCAATGTGGTACATAGAGGAGCAATCTCAATGTATAGTTAGACATGAATTTAAATGGAATGGGTACACTAGATATGAGATACAACATGGGGTATACAAACATATTATTGACTTTGTCAATAGACAGTGCACATGCAGATCATGTCAGCTTAAAGGAATACCATGCTCCCATGCAATATATGCAATATTTTTTAGGATATTTGAGCATGTTGACTATGTTGTTCATTGGTATAGGAAAGAAACATACCTTAAGGCTTTCAGTTGTTACATACAACCATTAACCAACATGGAGATATGGCCATCAACTTAGAATCCCACTGTTGAGCCTCCTGTAATAGCTAAGATGCCTAGTAGACCTAAGAAAAATAGAAGAAAATCTCAAGATGAATCCAAAAAGAAGTTTGATAAGATATCAAGGAACACCAATGACATACTTTCATTGTAAGACAGTAGGCCATAATAAGAAGGGGTAACTTATCCTGTAAATGATCAGATAATGCATTCATATGTTTTGTGTTTGTGACTTGTATTTTGTTTCTTTAACTCTTTTTTTTTTGGAAATTTCAGAAAGGACAAGGATCTGGAACTACTGGTGCTAGAAATGCTAATGTTACTCAAGGAACAATTCAACCATCAACTACTGTAAGTAGATCTGGAACTGCTGGTACCAGAAATATTCAAGCTACTCAGGCTGCTCAAGAAATAATTCAACCATCAGCTGCTGCAAGTGGATCTAAACCTGTTGGTACCAGAAATACTCAACCATCTCAAGCTGCTCAAGAAACAACTCAACCATCAGCTGCTGCAAGTGGATCTGGAACTGCTGGTACCAGAAATACTCAACAATCAGCTTTTGCAAGTGCATATGTAAGTATTCATTTTTACTTTAGTTAAGCTATAACTCAACCATCATTTTTTACATTATTAGATAGTACTTTATCCTATATCAAGAAACTGAGAGTATGATATCAAGGACTTATGAGGATATTCTATCTAGCGTTAGAGGAAGGCCAAGAGCTACTGCACTTCGAGGAAGACCAAGAACTGCTGGATTTGATATTTTGGTTAGTGTTTCAGGGACAATGATAGAAGGAGTAAGTGATTCAGATTTGGAGTGTTATTTAGAAATTAGTAGTTTGGGTGCTAATTTGACTTTCTCTGCAATGTAGATCAAGAGATAGGGTACTTAATGCGCCTACAAAAATAGTGGATGCTGGACAGATCAATATTGACCTTGGATACAGTGCACTTGGAGTAAGGTGGCAAGGAAAAAATGCAATAACACATGCAACTACAACAACAGTTGAGGAGAAGACAAACTCAAGCAAGCTTTAGCCAATCATAAGTTCATTCCTCATCTAACCAAGCCAGTCTCCATGTCCCAACTTGAGCCAATCTCAACAAAACATCAATCACTCTCAACAGTAATGATCTGCTGAATGTTTGTTTTTGTGATAACTTAAGTCTGCTAGTTGCATAACTTAATTTGTAGGTTATTTATGGATGTTTAAGTATGACTTTTATTTTGGTACAATGTTAAACTGTTTTTGCTACTAGACAACTTTCAGTAGCTAATTTTGTCAACCAAGATGGTTGATCGAACTTGGTTGTTTATATATGTCTGCTTGTTTATGTCAAACATTGCTTTTCATTCCATAAAATTTCATCATACATTTTGTCTATTTTGTCATTTTCATTGTACATAGGGTTATGAAGAAACATACAATATACATTAATAACTAACTAGACTAAGAAGGAAATTACAATGATTAGTGTTAATACCCTCTTCCTACGCTGCAGTCGATCTCTCTCTAATTTTTGATAACAGCCCTTAAATCACTTGTTTGTAGTGATCTAGAAGAGTTGGGTCAAACCACCTAAAAAAATTGCAAAAATTGTTTCGACCATAATTTGAGCACATATAAAATCTTCTTCTTGGATTTGTTGGTTTCCAAATGATGTAAAACTTAGCTTCAACTCCACAATGACAAAATATAGGACGTTCCATCATTTTCACGGACTGGAAAAAGAAAAAAATATAAATGGAGCTTTAAATTTTAGACAATGGGGGAATGGAGCTTCAGATTCTATATATAATGGAGGAATAATGTATTTTACAAAGAATGAATAAGAACCCACTTAAATACGACCCATTTTGGATGTAAAACTTAACTTCAACTCATAAAGTTCTGTGTTTTGAATATTTTTCTGACCTTCTAGTAATTTTCTCTTAATAGTACAACGATCTCATCATTTCAGTATTCTCTTGCCAACATTACACAATGTTAGTTTTTAGTTTTTCTTCTATTGTATGGCATAATTTTAGAAAACTCACACCTAAATATGAAACAAGTACCAATTAAAGCTTTTAAAGCTCATTACTTCCAAAAGAGAGTTAGGACCTAAGAAGAATTTGAGTTTTTATCAAATTTCTTAACCAAATAATGGGTAAAGGAGTTCATCACGTAAAAATTGCACGGGGCGCCCTATTTGGTCACCCCCATTTAACCTATACTCATTTTTTTAAAATTTTTTAACTTGTACCCGCTTTTTAAATAATTTCAGCCCCCTTTCTCCGCCTCCTCCTCCTCCTCCTCCTCCTNTTCTAGAGTAATTTTTATTAGCAGATTCGAACTGTATTGGATTTTAGATCGTTAAGCAATGCTAATTAAGCATGATTTTCTCGTCAGTAGCTTTGACCACATTGGATTTTAGATTGATAGGCTTAGTTGATTTAGCATCACCAGTTCTAGAGCTGAAGATTGACAGTTACAAAACAAAAACTTCAGCTCTAGAGCTGAAGTTCGCCAGTTACAAAAACAAAAACTTCAGCTTTGGAACTGAAGTTCGCCAGTTACATAAACAAAAACTTCAGCACACTTGGTTCAGCACACTTGCTACTTCAGGCCCGTCTACTAGAATGCTGAAGTTTTGCGTGATTGTCTTTGCTACTTCAGCCCCGCATGCTGAAGTTATACGAAAAAGCAGGTACGCTTACAATTGTTTTTGCAAAGCGGCACAAGTTAAAACGTGACACAAAAAGCGGGTATAGATGCAAATGCCCCGTTCATCACCCCCAAACTTCAAGCATATTGTAGTATTCTTCCATTTTTTCAAAGTCAAACGGAAAAGTCATGGCTATTTACTCATTTTATGGTTCAAGGGCTTATTTGAGTCTAAAGTTATACAAGAGATTTGGTGATATTATGATTATAAGTTAAAAAGTTACCTTAAATATGCTCGAGATAATTGACTTGTGTTATCACAACCTAAGTTCAAAACATGGCTATATCAAACGAGTGTATGCCCTGCGCTCTAAGCTTAAGCTGCATCTCTATCTATATTTAGCAAAATCATTACCTCATGAAAGAACCTTAACGTCACGCAGTACAAAAACAGAACTTCAAACTTCAATAGAACTTGCCAAACACGTCAAAAAATAATACTGACCATACATAAACCTATTACAGTGACCTTTCCAAATTTTGGTGTCCCTGTATTTTAACTTCAATATACAGACTCATGGAGGCAATAGGATGTGCTAATCATTTTTCGTCAAGGCTGACTTGTGTTTTACCTTCTACATTTTTAGGAGACTGCTCAGACAAATCTATTTTACAAGGTTGGTCTTTGTTTTCTGCTTTCGTCTCCTTATGGTGATCCTTGACTGTGGGTATGTCCCTCACATCCTTCTCCTCGTGGTGATCATCACGTGTAGTTTGTTCTTTTATGTCCTCCTCATGACAATCATCAAGTGGCATGCTACACTCCTTTTCCATTTCAGTAGGATGAAGATCAGGCAAAGCACCTTCATTTGTTTCACTAGATTCCGCTGTAGTTCTCTGATGATCCTCAAAAGAGGAATCATGAGCTTTTACAACTTTAGCATGTTCCCCGAGCTCAGACGACAAATTGCTAACTGTTCTCTTTTGGCCCTTCAGGTTTTCACATGATTCAGGGCAGTCTCCTACCTCGGACTGACGTTCAGGTAAGAGCACATCATTGTGGCTTAATGCTGTTATATCCTTCTCCATGTGGTGAGTATCAGATAACACTCCGTCATGGAAGCCATCTTGGGAACCAGTAAGCTCCTGTGTCTGGTTGTTGCTATCGGCATCGACTGACAGAATGTTATTGACAGTAGCAATATGCTCTTCAGCAGTCATTTCTTCTATCTCATTCTGAGGTATAGACATAAAGTTTCCCTTAAGGCCACCATCTGAAATTGTAACAGTAGTTTCTTCTACCTCATTCTGAGGTACACATATAGAGTCTCCCCCGAGGCCACCATCTGAATTTGTGCTCTCAATTGAGTGAGAATCCTGAAAGTCAGTTTTAGTTGGGCCGTCTTCATTAGTGGAAGGAAAAGACTGAAAAGTATCCCAATCATCGTCTTCCTCTTCCTCAGACTTGTCCTCAACCTCTTCTCTACAAGCAGCTGAAACAGTATTTTCCTCTTCTCTACTTTCCTCTATTTTTGCAGGCAACTTGATACTTAAAGATGGTCCTGTGGAATTGACTTGTATTTGGTTCTGGTCTTGCATCACAGAAGCACGTATTACATCCTGTAAGCATAAAATTCAATAGACTGAGAATCTCTTTTTGGTTTCTGTTAACCAAACTCTTACTGATGCTGAACCACTTAACACACGCCCTTCGGAACCATAGTTAAATGCCAGACTTCAAAAATTAGAGAGCAGAAAAGCTCTCAGCTCAAACTATTAATATACCTGATTTCCTAGGTAGTCAAAATCTCAAAAGAAGGGAAAAGGACGCATTACTACATAAGCACCTCTTTTGTGACAATCTACGGGCCACACTTCCATTTTGAAACATCATAAATTGTTTGACGCACTTTCAGATATAACTGAAGTCTTTCTAAATTTCAAAAATTTCAAGTTTCAAATGTATTTGACACAACCAATTTAAACCATGATGGGAGGATTTGTCCACAAAAAACATTTGAAATATGATAACATTTAATTGAGGAGATGTATCCATAATGTAGTAACACTACCAAAAAAGAAGAGATCTTGCAAAAGAATAGCAAATAAAAAGGTTAATACCACAAAAACATAAGAATTAGAGCGCATCAAGAAATAGTGTGTATTTCTCCTATTTTTAACAAAGTTATCACCTGCAGTTGTTGTCTTCTTGTCATGGGCATTGTCAGTAAGACCTCCTTGATATAAGCAGATGAGCTAGGGAGTTGAGCCAGTTGTGCAACTAATTTTATAGCTGTGATCTTCAAATCACGTGCTTCCTACAATGTAAACAAGATCAATCAGACCGTGAAGGCAGATGAAGCAAAACATAAGCTTCATATATGATAGAACCTGAGAAGAATTCTCTGATGTTGTAAAAAGGAGAACAGCTTCCAAAAACAGATTCATTAGGCATTTCTGACACTCATTAGTTCTTGAGAGTGTCTGAAGAAACATCAAAATTTTCAAACACTCCCCAGCAATAGCCATCACTTCCCTGTTCATAGGTGTCTGCCATCAAGAGAAAAGCATCAGGTTCTGTAACAGTGTGAAATTCAAGTCACCGGCTCCCCCCAGCCCCTGGCACCAACAACAAGAATGGAACACGTACAAGTGGGAAATAAGTAAAACTGAACACTTTGGCTACCTTAAGAAGTTTCTGGATTACAGATCCAAGGTCTTCAACAAGTTCCCCAACAAAGAACACAAGGAAAGAGTTAAACTCTGAATTGGTTTTTCTTGTTAGCATGCTTTTCAATATTTGCAACCCAATTGCTTGGACCTGCAGTTGTGAAAAATTATGTTTGCTAACCAGTTAATAAAATCATCATTTGCAATAAAAACTGCTTACTTGAATGTCAGAATCAGTAAGAGCACTCCTGAAGCATCGAGTTGCATGACATATCATGGCATATAATATTGGTTTACATCCTTCGTTTACTTCGAGAAGTTGAATATCAAATGCTAGTTTAGTAAATGAAGTAGTCTGTTCAAGAGAGAGAGCAAGCTTCAGCAGCAGCAGTTTATGTAAGTTGGAGCTCTTATTCTTCTCAAGCTGATGAATTCCTTTAGTGCAGTTCTCAGCAAAAATAACACTCGCAGCCAGACAAGTTCTTGCTATTGTTGCCAAATGCCCAATGCTATCATTTCCAAGTTCAGAGATATCTGTAGTTAGAGCAAATAACCATCAGTCAATTAAAATAAATATGTTACTGTGGACAATTTTAAGATTGGAAATTAATAAATGGACAAACTGCACTTTCTCTAGATTATGGAATTGAACCTGGAGCTCACCATCTGGATCAAGAATACTTTTTTCTTCATATTTCCAAGGATCACCTGCCCCAACTAGGTTGGGGCTGAAATGTAGATGTTGTTTCCAAGAATCACTATTCGGGTCCAAAATACAAAATACTTCATTTCTTTTGTTTAAAGAATCAAATAGTGTGAAGGATGATTGATAATTATAGTACAAAAGTTTGTTCACTGGAAGTGGAAACCAAAAGAAAAGTATGACCAAGGCCCAAATAAGAGAGCTTGCAAGCTATGTTGTGCGGACTCTTCAAAATCCTGGCCGCAGGTGCGGGTGTGGGATCCACACTAGATTTGGTCAACTCGTGTGCTTTGACTACATCTATGACCGATAAGTATAGATTGATTGGGTATTTAGTTTGATTTTTGAAGGATGATTGATAATTATAGTACAAAAGTTTGTTCACTGGAAGTGGAAACCAAAAGAGAAGTATGACCAAGGTCCAAATAAGAGAGCTTGCAAGCTATGTTGTGCGGACTCTTCAAAATCCCTGCCGCAGGTGTGGGTGCGGGTGTGGGATCCACACCAGATTTAGTCAACTTGTGTGCTTTGACTACATCTATGACCGAGAAGTATAGATTGATTGGGTATTTAGTTTGAGTTTTGGATATATATATATATGAGAATGCTTTACTATTACGTGAGAATATCTTATAAATAAAATTTTGGGCGTTTATAAAGAATTAAATTTTATTAGTTTTAGTTCAATAACTTAAAGGTAAGTTCTATATAGCGATGGTTAGACCGGCCATGTTGTATGGGGCTGAGTGTTAGCCAGTAAAAAATTCAAGTAGTAAAAATGAGGATGTTGAGATGGATGTGCGGGCACACTAGGCTGGATAAGACTAGGAATGAAGATATTCGAGGAAGGTGGGCGTGCCCCACATGGACGACAAGATGCAGGAAGCAATGCTTAGATGGTTCGGGCATGTGCGGAGGAGAAGCTTAGATGCCCTGGTTAGGAGATGTGAGCGGTTGGCTTTGGCAGGTATAAGAAGAGGTAGAGGGTGGCCTAGGAAGAATTGGGGCGAGTAGGGATGGCAATGGGGCGGTGCGGGGCGGGTTTAGACATATGCGGNGAAGCTACCCTTACAGTTTAATATAAAGTTTTTGACTAGATTGCACTGCCGATATTAAATCAAAGTGATATAATCTATTATTATTTAAATTCAAGAGATATTACTTTTATGTCCTTAATTATTTTAAATTTCTAAATTCTTATCGTGATGAAGAACTGTCCTAGTTTAATTGGAACATCTTGTAGCACTCCAGGTTCTTCTGCAAACGTGACATCTTGCAAGTTCTTAACTAAATGGAACCAAACTAGAAACAATATTTCCAGTCAGTTTCTTATGGTTTTTGATTTCTATTACAAACTCAGAGTGTGTTAGTTTAAAAGATTTTATTTATAGCATATACCATGGTGAAATGAGAAAAATCACATCGACACTTGCTTAAATCCTTACCAAAATAAAAATTCAAGCCAAAGGATTAAAAAGAGATAAAACTAATAAAATGATAAGAAGAAGAAAAAAAACTTAAGCAGGGCAGGGCGGGGCGGGTTGAAATTTCGCGGGTTAAAACAGAACCCGCCCCGCCCCGCTTGCCATCCCTAGGGGCGAGGTAGTCAGGTAGGACATGGCGCGACTTCGAATTTCCGAGGACGTAACTCTTGATAGCAAGGTGTGGAAGTCGAGCATTAGAGTTGAAGGTTAGGGGGTAGTCGAGCATCTTCTTACTTTGTCCCGGGGGTGGAGCTAGTCTGATAATATTTTGTTTTGGACTTCTAGTGGCTTATGTTGTGTTCACACTATTTTTCCGTTCTTTATAGTACTGTGTCACTATTACTGGTTATTGTTATTGCTTTTCCATCTATTTTCTGTCTTTTACGATGCTGATATTATCTTTATGGTTTATGTTGCTGGTACGGATCTATTGTGTCTTTTCGTCTTCTTGAGCCGAGGGTCTTTCGGAAATAGCCTCTCTACTCCTCGGGGTAGGGGTAAGGTCTGCGTACACTCTACCCCCTAGACCCCACTTGTGGGATTTTACTAGGATGTTGTTGTTAGTTCAATAACTTTATCGGATACCCACACCCGACACCGAGCAACATAGCTTGCAGGTCTCAGTGGAACTTTGATAAAAGTATCTCTTCTCTAAGAATAAACACAACATATTCTCAGACATCCTCTCTTTTATGCATGGTGTTGACACATTCTACAAATACATGCAGGGCAATGCACGGAAAACAGTTGCAAAACTTTATCCTCCAACTCTTGTGATTAAAGGGTTCTTCAGGAATCAATGGAAAACCATACAATTCCCCTAGATCGTTAGAACGTCAAGTTTTAAACGCATTGGAACCATGCCTCGTAATACTTCAGGTCAAGGTTTGTCAGATTCTTTCAGAAAAACCATAAATACACAAAAGGAAATACAAGCTCACATCTATGATCAAACTAAGTGTACTCTCTGAACGCAAAGTTCTTCATATTACTTGCCGCATCCATAGAAATGTTTCACTTTAGAATAATTTGTAGTCAGATTCCGAAAGACAAGCAGGAACAGAAAACACAATGGAAGCAAAGGATCTATATAGACAACACCTAACAATTGAGATTCAAAATTAGTTGTTACACTTACATTAAGTCCGGTAGTTGTCAAGAATCTTTATTCTCTTAGAGACGTAAAAGCAAAGGACATATATGGATAGCACCAACTAATTGAGATTAAAAGGTAAGTTGTGTTACACTTACATTAAGTCCGTTATTTTTTGTTGACATACAAGTTGTCTAGCACATGTATACACATGTACTACATCATAGCTAGCACATGTATATGAGTTGTATAGTATGTGTAATACAAGTTGTGTAGCACATGTATACACATGTACTACATCATAGCTAGCACATGTATATGAGTTGTATAGTAGGTGTAATTAGGTGTGGCAACTAATAGATTAGGTGAATTAGTATTATAAATATGCCTTGTAATCTTCTCTTCTAGATATGAAATATAGAACTTCTTTGGTTTCTAACATGGTATCAGAGCATTGAAGTTTTTTCATCAGTTTGTTGTTGGGAATTTTTTTTTCCCCGTTCGAATTATTTTTGTTCAGAACAGTCTTTCGCTGCTTTGATTCTATTTTGTTCCGACACTGTTCACTGTACTGTTCACTGTTCACTGCACTGTTCAATATTACTATTCACTGTTCACTGTACTGTTCAAATATCACTGTTCACTGTTCACTGCACTGTTCTTGACTATTTGAT